GATGGCTGAAATTGTGTTTCACAAGTTTTCCTATTGTTTGATTCAGTATAAGGAGCTGTCAGTACCTTGGACATGATGTTCCCATGGAAGAGAAAAAAGAGAAAAAAAAAACCAACAAAAAACAGAACCATATAATGACCTTAAAGGCTTCTGCTTGGATGTGGCTTGCATTACTGCTGATTTCACTGGTGAAGAATAAGTCAAATGGTGAAGCTTTATATCATTTCAGTAGAAAAATATATTCTTACAGACAGGGCAGTGAACAAATGGCAATAATAACAAACTATCCTAGTCTTCCTTAATAATCTCAAAAATATATTTTCCAGTCTTACTTAAAAATCACTGACTGTCTACAAAAAATATCCATCAAAAGTTGTTTTCAATCAAAGCATCTGGCCTAAACATAGAGTATTGTAATAACCTGTATCTCATAGTTTGATGAAACTTTCTTTCAGATCCATGAGCAAAAATATCTGTGTGTGAACCTACAATTGTAGGATTGTGGGCCACATATAAAATAAACAAGGCAACATCGATTTAAGAAGTTAGTAAATTGGAAGTATACAGAATTCACTGATCCATAGCAATTTTGAAATCTTACTGGGTAGACAATGAGAAGACCTCCTACAAGAAGGTGATTTTTTAAAAGCAAAATCAATTTTTTAAATTATACTTTCAGTTCTAGGGTACATGTGCACAACGTGCAGTTTTGTTACATATGTATACATGTGCCATGTTGGTGTGTTGCACCCATAAACTCGTCATTTACATTAGGTATATCTCCTAATGCTATCCCTTGCCCACATTACTAAACCTCCTCCCCACAGTAGGACCACAGCGGTGGTGTGAATGTTTCCCCTTCCTGTGTCCCAAGTGATCTCATTGTTCAGCTCCCACACTGTGAGTGAGAACATGTGGTATTTGGGTTTTCTGTTCTTCGGCGATAAGTTTGCTGGAGAAATGATTGGTTTCCAGCTGCATCCATGTCCCTACAAAGAACATGAACTCATCCTTTTTTTATGGCTGCATAGTATCCATGGTGTATATTGTGCCCACATTTTCTTAATCCAGTCTGTCACTGTGGACATTTTGGGTTGAATCCAAGTCTTTGCTATTGTGAATAGTGCCGCAATAAACATATGTGTGCATGTGTCTTTATAGCAGCATGACTTATAATCCTTTGGGTATATCCCCAGTAAATGGGATGGCTGGGTATATTCTAGTTCTAGATCCTTGAGGAATCGCCAAACCTTGTTTTCCACAACATGGTTGACTAGTTTTACAATCCCACACAACAGTGTAAAAGTGTGATCTATTTCTCCACATCCTCCTCCAGCACTGTTGTTTTCCTGATTTTTTAATGATTGCCATTCCTAACTGGGTGTGAGATGGTATCTCATTGGTGGGTTTCGATTTGCATTTCTCTGATGACGAGGATGATGAAGCATTTTTCATGGTGTCATGGGTTGCTGCTATGAATGTCCTTTTTTGAGAAGTGTCTGGTTCATATCTTTGCCACTTTCTTTTGATGGGGTTTTTTTTTTTTTTTCTTGTTAAATTGATTGATCTTAATAGGTTTCTGATATTAGCCTTCTGATCAGATGAGTAGCATGTGCAAAAATGTTCTACCCATCTGTAGGTTGCCCTTTTCAAACCTCGCGGATGGTAGCTTCTTTTGCTGTGCCAGAACGCCTTTAGGTTTAATTAGATCCCATTTTCAATCTGGCTTTGTTGCCCATTCTTTTGGTGTGTTAATACATGAAAGCTTTTGCTCATGCCCCTATGCCTGAATGGTATTACCTACGGTTTTCTTCTAGGGTTTTAGTGGTATATGGTCCTACAATTTAAGGTCTCATAATCCATCTTGATAATTTAATTCCGTAATAAGGATAAGGAAAGGATCCGTGTCAGCTATTCCTACTTATTGCTAGCCAAATTTCCCCAGCGAACCATTGATTAAAATAGGGAAAATCCTTTTCCCCATCTCTTGTTTTTGTCAGTCTTGTCAATAGATCAGAATTGCTTGTAGATGTGTGCGGTATTATTATCTGAGGGCTCTGTTCCTGTTCCATTGTTTTGTACCAGTACCAATGCTGTTTGGTTGACTGTAGCCTTGTTAGTATAGTTCGAAGCAGGTTACATGAATGCCTCCAGCTTTGTTCTTTTTGGCTTAAGGATTTGTCTTTGCAAGTGGGTGGGTCCGCTTTTTGAGTTCCATTATAACTTTAAAGCAGTTTTTCCAATTCTGTGAAAGATCATTGGTAGCCTAATGGCGGATGGCATTGAATCCTAGTAAATTACCTTGGGTCAGATAATGGCCTTTTCACCAATATTGATTTCTTTCCTATCCCATCGAGCCATGTGATATTTCTTCCAATTTTGTTTGTGTCCTCTTTTATTCACTGAGGCAGTGGTTTGGTATTCTCCTTGAAGAGGTCCTTTACATTCCCATGAAGTTGGATTCCTAGGTATTTTTATTCTCTTTTTGAAAAACTAGCAAAACCATTTTTTTTTTATTTTTTTTATTTATTTTATTTTATTTTTTAAATTATTTATTATTATTTACTTTTAAGTTGTGAGGGTACATTGTGCCATAACGTGCAGGTTTGTTACATAATGTATACTTGTTGCCATGTTGCTGGCTGCCACCCAATCAACTCGTCCATTTTACATCAGGTATAACTCCCAATGCAGTCCCTCCCTCCTCTCCCCATGATAGGCCCTGGGCGTGTGATGTTCCCCTTCCTGAGTCCAAGTGATCTCATTGTTCAGTTCCCACCTATGAGTGAGAACATGGCGGTGTTTGGTTTTCTGTTTCTTGTGATAGTTTGCTAAGAATGAGGTTTCCAGCTGCATCCATGTCCCTACAAAGGAACACAACTCATCCTTTTTTATGGGCTGCCATAGTATTCCCATGGTGTATATGTGCCCTACATTTTCTTAATCCAATCTGTCACTGATGGACATTTGGGTTGAATTCCAAGTCTTTGCTATTGTGAATAGTGCTGCAATAAAACATACGTGTGCATGTGTCCTAAAATCCATTTTTAAAAGTCTAAATTTTGATTTTTAAAATTAGTTTCTTAGTCCTTTTTTCTGCTTGGCTCTGACCTCATTTATTAGAAGGTTCTTCCTTTTCTGTTGTCTTAGCCACATCTAAGCAAGGCATTGGAGAAACTGCCTTCCTTAGTGACTTAACAGATTTCTCATCTTACCTTTTGATGACAATATCAGGAGGTGCAAAGATCATTTTAGCCTCAAATGGTCAGTCTCTTTTAATCAAGATTTTTGGCTCTTTTAGAATTACAGCTATTTAAAAAATATTATTCCAGGAAGGCATATACAAAATCCTTTTTGAAACACATCTCTATACCTCTCTAGATTTACTTACAAGTAACTTGAGCTTATTATGTTTATATAGGAGAGTCACAGCTTTCAAGTGTTTTTTTAATGAGCAATTTTATCCACCTGAAACATTTTAATAGGCATAACCTTAATTGAGAGGTTACAGATATGGGCATTCTTTTGTCACCCTTCAATTGGGCCATCTATCTATCTTATCTGATTTCTTTATCATCTATCTATCTATCTATCTATCTATCTATCTATCTATCTATCTATCTATCTATCTATCCATCTATCCATCCATCCGTCCTGCACACACATTTAATAGTACTTTTTCAAATGCAAATAATAGCAGTTAAGTCAAACAGAATGTTCCCAAGTTATTTACAGATAGCAAGTTATTATTGCATAATAGGAGCCATCATTTTCCTAGTTTCCAGTAAGTTTCTTTCTCATTTAGAGGTTTAATGGGGCTTTAAACAAATTTCCCCTATTTAGCATTCCTGTCCTGCAGTACCTTATCCTGGACAATTATTTCTGTACTAGTCAGCTTTTTAAGATTATGCTGTATAAGAAACAATTCTTAAATATCAGTGGCTTCATACAATAAAGATTTAATTCCAATGCATAAATCTGTTTAGTGGCCTGTATATCTACAATTGCAATTATAAATTGACTAGAGTTATACTTCACAAGTCTGCATTCAGAATTCCAGAATTGAAGGGGAAATTTCGTAACATTTTTGAAGAGATAGGAAAAAAGCAATGATGAAATTACCTGATGGCTCTTCAAGTTTCTGCTTAGATGTGGCTTATGTCACTTACATATTTCTATTGCCAAAGTAAGTAAGATGAGCAAGCCTGGTAGCCATGAGGCAGAAGCATACAATCTTTTTATAGGGAAGGCAGTAAATAATTGAAAAATAATATAATTTGCCACATACATTAAATTTCTGGTACCCAATTTTTATTTCTTTATTTGTTTTGCCATGTTAATTGGTTCTTGGTAAAATATTAATTGACATATGAAGGTTAGTTTATTTGAGCAAATGCATAACAAGATCTGAACATAATGCCCATGGCCTATCTCAATGTATATATAAGAAAACTATTAATCTGATTTTCACAAGTCTTATAAAATTATTCAGGATAAATTGATCAAATGATGTAATTTTTTTCAGAAACATTGTTATTTGAAAAAAGTGTATTATATGCAAACATGACTATTTTGAACTATTAATAATAAAAAATGCAATTATAATAGCCAGTTTCTCTTGAGTACTTCCAATTCCAGATACTGTCTTTAATTCAAACTCAATTTTTTTTTTAAAATGAGGATACTGAAGTTTGAGCAAGGGCCTGTAACTAGGAGGTAAGAACAGGGGATATAAAAGTCAGTTCTCTCTGACTTGAGACCAGTTCTTTGTCATTAATTTTGAATACACATGTTGTATAGATGTCTTTATTTTATATAAATTTTACAGCTATATGTTGAAGTGCTGTAAAATGGAGTGATCATCAGTGGGTTGTGCTTAGTTAGGATATAATTCATCTGGTGGGAGAGTTTTGAATCCATGCTGATAACAGAGATTCCTCCACTCTAGGTGAACAAGAAACTTAGAAGAGAAGCACACATAAAAATGTCTTTAGGGAAGTGAGCAACGCACTCTGCGTCCTCGCCTCACCAGGAAACTACTAAAGTTCCTGGGGAAGCAAAGCAGAATTTCATAAGAACAAAATGGATGGAGAGGAGAAAACCTATGGTGGCTGTGAAGGCCCTGATGCCATGTATGTCAAATTGATATCGTCTGATGGCCATGAATTTATTGTAAAAAGAGAACATGCATTAACATCAGGCACGATAAAAGCCATGTTGAGTGGCCCAGGTCAGTTTGCTGAGAACGAAACCAATGAGGTCAATTTTAGAGAGATACCTTCACATGTGCTATCAAAAGTATGCATGTATTTTACGTACAAGGTTCGCTACACTAACAGCTCCACCGAGATTCCCGAATTCCCAATTGCACCTGAAATTGCACTAGAACTGCTGATGGCTGCGAACTTCCTAGATTGTTAAATAAAATAAATTATAATAAACTGTTAACTCTTTTCAGTATTTAATACCTGTAGTTCAGTTAGTAACTTTTTCATATATAGCATGTTGCCTGTATGCAGTTGAACTATGTAAAGTTCATTGCAAAGCAGATTATCTTCTGTTTTTTTGCATAGCAATCAAAGTTGAAATTTGTTTGCTACATCAACAAATTAAGGACATTTTCACAAACTGAGAAATAAACAAATATGCCAATTCGTAAAAAAAAAAAAAAAAAAAGTCTTTAGACCTTACTTTAAAACTATCATCTGTACAAAGAATTGTATATGAAAATTCTGCCCCGGCCTGGGAGGCACTAAAGGAAAAAGACATGATGGTCTCACAGCCATTGCTACACTCTTATGGTCGCATCTCATGTTGCTCTGGAGAGGCACACATGGAGCATCTGGCAGTGGTCTGGGGTCTGGGACTCCTGCCTTGTTCAAGCCGAACCCTAGAGAGCCAGCATTGGCAGAAGATGAGTGAATCACTTTGCAGACAGATGCTATTGCACAATCATTTACATCTATAGCACTCAGGTTTCTGGTGATTTAATAGAAAAATGGAATACTGGGGACTTTATTTAACATCTGCTCTCAACCAGGTAGAAATGCCTTCAGGAAAGGCTTAGCTTCCTCTATGTTCACCTGATCCTAAGACCCAAAATAGGAGAATTCAAGATAGAAGAAACAATTCTAAAAGGGCCTATGAACAAGCTTTTTGGCCCTCGTTATTACTCCTTAGTTGGGGGCTTTGCTGAAGTCAGTTGAAATTTTCTTATAAACCCAGTTATGATTTATCATTTGCCTGGCATTCCAAACATGTCGACCTGGAACTCTTTCTAAGCCTGAGAAGGGAAGAATTGGTGGAGATTCCTTTTGGCTAGTTGTTATGGAGTCAGTGGGATCAGATGAGAGTCAACTAAATTATATTAAAAAGAAATCTGTAGTCAATCTCAGCTGTGTGTATGTGTGTGTGTTTAGCGAGGGGGAGGGACACAAAGAAGAGAGAGAAAGATTATGCAGATGAAATTGAGGAAAATGTAAATTTTACTTTACATTTCATTGTCATTGATAAACTATACTTGAACTGTACTTTTTGAAATTCAATAAAATGAAGGTAACTTGTTTAAATTTAAGCACAAGAACAGAAAATCACTGGTAAAATACAGAGTTTTTTTGAAAAAAAGAAAAAAACCTGCATTTAAAATAATTCCAAACAATAGAAAAGAAGTTAGTACTATAAAGGTATATACCAATCTGTAATTTGTAATCATGACAGAAAGAAATTTAAATTCCCAAAAACTAAAAAGGCAAGAAAATTAGAATATATTGTTATACTATTAAGCAATATGTATGTAACTCTTTAGAAATTTGGAAAATAATAACATAAAAAAGTAGGATATTTCATGTACAGTGGATACAACTATGTAAAAACTGTGTCTTGTATGTTATCAAAATGTTCTTCCAAGCTCATCAAAATGACTGATTGGCTTGGAGTTCTAGTGATAAGACAGTTATGTAAAAGAGCAATCTGATGATAAATTGTAATTGTTGTGCTTGCATCTAATTTATCAGTAGTGCTTGTAGACAACCACATAGTGCTTGTATATTGTTATAGTAGTATTGGTAGAATTGTTTCGGTTATATCACAAATGTTTTGGAGAAGTTTTCAATTGTTTATACCGCAAGTTGCCTTTCAACGCACTGAAAAAAGTGTAGTACCTAAGGTGTTTAATGTATGAATCAGAGTTTGGATGAGTTATCTTTTGCTGCTTAAAAACAACCACAGAATCTCAATACCATCCAAAAATTATATATATATATGTATGTGTGTGTATCATATATATGTGTGTGTGTGTGTATGTGTATATGTGTGTGTATGTACATACAGATATTTACTCAAGAATTTGCAGGGTGGCTGGGATGATTGCTTCACAATCTGGATATAAAGGTCAATCAGTTGCTCTCATGTATCTGTCATCCTTTTTGGGCCAGTGAGATAGCCACATTATGTTCTTCTCACAATGATGGCATGAGCACATAAACATCCATTGGCCAAAGTAAGTCATGTAGATGAGCCCAAAGTCAATTACTGGAGAATACTTATTTACTTTAGGTATAAGAAACCATATTTTATATTAAAAGATACAGATACAGGGATAGGTCAATAACATGGGGAAATAATTTGACCTTCCTCAAGGTTCTAGGTCATGAACATTTTGGAGTTACTCATTTGTCTGAGAGAGCAGTTTTATTTCTTTTAAAATTGCAAAAATTTTTAAAATTACAAAATTTTTTTTACATGCCTCAAATTTTCATAATGCGCAGGAATGATATTCTATTAGGGTATTTTTTTCTGGTTCAGAAAAAGCTCATGTGCCTCTTGGGGTTGATAACCTTTAGGTTTGTGGGTAACCACTCAAAATCCTAGAGTTAGTATATAGATTATTTTAAGTTGAAGACATTAGTGATTCAGCAGATGCAGAAAGAAGCTTTCTTGGCATTTCCCTTATGTGACTAAAAACAGAAGCTTCTGGGAACATAGCTGCTCTTTTCTGGTTTGATTTTATTCCCAGGAAGATGACCAAGATGAAACCAACCATAAATCCCCTGTTGGGGAAGATGTATGTCCATGAAGCAGACAGAAAGAATTTTCAGGCTTGCATGAATAATCAGTACCATAAACTTTATTATTTCTATTTGTTCTTATAAAAACCCATTTGTTGTTCTCATGGGGACCTCTTTTGTCTTCTTTTTTTACTAAGAAAGATATATAAACCTCTAACCATTCATCAAGCTACTTATTTTGTAAGCTTTAGTATGCATGCAAATAAAGTTTTTTTCTCCTGTTAGTCTGACTTTTGCCAGTTGAATTTACAGACCCTCAGCTACTGAACATAAATGCATGGAGAAAAAGTTTTTTTCTCTACAAAACATTCTTAATTTCTTTAGTGGGGTGTAATTATGCACAAGTGCATATGCACAATGAATTAAAGCAACATTATACTTTCGAAATCAGTCCTGAGATTAAAACACAAAAATTGAAAGAAGGAATGACAGCATTATATTCAGAGACATTTAAGAAAGTGAAACTTTGCTTTGTGAAGCCTCAATACCTTCATTTTCTTAAACATCTCTGCATATGTTGGAGGAGAAAACTGGAAGAAAGTTGATAGGTGAGGTTAATTTTATGAAGAGAACACATTAATAAAACCTTAAAGTAAGTAATTGTGGAAACATTCCTTATTGAGAATCTTCATAAAAGCACACACTTTGAAATTTATAATTCTTATTTAGATTTTTTTTTTTTTTTACCATTTTGAATTTGGCACCAACTTTCAATGGAGAAACTAAAGAAGTTATTTCTGGAAAATTTGTGTTAATATAATGCCAGTAGGGCAGACTTGGAATTATTTGAGAAGAGGGGCACTGGCAAACAGATTCACAGAATTTGGGTGTAAAATACTTTAAGGATGGGTATAATGAGGGTGGATCCAAAACAGTATCTAGAAAATTCTTTCCTGTGAGTTCATGTCCTTTGTAGGGACATGGATGAAGTTGAAAACCATCCTCAGCAAACTATCACAAGGACAAAAAAAACCAAACACCTCATGTTCTCACTCATAGGTGGGAATTGAACAATAAGAACACTTGCACACAGAATGGGGGACATCACACACTGGGGCCTGTCATGGGGTGGGGGGAGGGGGGAGGGATAGCATTAGGAGATACACCTAATGTAAAAGATGAGTTAATGGATGCAACACACCAACATGGCACATCTATACATATGTAACAAACCTGCACATTGTATACGTGTACCCTAGAACTTAAAAAAAAGAAAGACTTTCCTGAAAAACTTGAAATCTCCTGTTGTTTCTTTCTATCGAAACTAATAGGTGGCTTTCTGTCCTGTTAGTAAGATTCAGGAATGAAGCATAATGGAAAGTGAAAAACTCTAAAGGAAAAAAAAAATTACATTGTTTGTCAGAAATGGAAGATATGATATGTTGATAAAGATTCTAGAACTGGGTAAAAAGGGAATTTGCAATATGTGGTTCAAAGCTACTATGATTAGAGTTTTAATATCTCCCAACTAGTTAAAAGTCACCTTGCTTTAAAATAACTTTTGAGAAGAAAATATACAATCTTCTTTGTTCATTTTGACAGAGAGGTAGTGAGGGATGAGAGAAGAACACAAGACTTAAAATGCAGACACCTAGAATAAGTGCAGACATGCTGTGGGCAAACCACTTAATGATGTGGTTCATTTCAAAGGTCACTTCCTGTATTGTCCATTTTCACATTGTTGATAAAGACAAATGAGACTGGGCAATTTACAAAAAAAGGTTTATTGGACTTACAGTTTCACATGGCTGGGGAGGTCTCTCGATCATGGTGGAAGGCAAGGAGGAGCAAGTCACATCTTATGTGGACGGCAGTAGGCAAAAAGAGAGCTTGTGCTTGGCAACTCCCGTTATTGAAACCATCAGATCTTGTGAGACCCATTCGCTATCATGACAACCCATTCACTATCACGAGAGCAAGGGAAAGACCCACCCTCACAATTCATTCATCTCCCACTGGGTCCCTCCCACATCACATGGGAATTATGGGAGCTACAAGATGACATTTGAATGGGGATACAGAGCCAAACCATATCATTCCTACCTGGCCCCTCCAAAATCTTATATCTTCACATTTCAAAACCAATCATGCCTTCTCAACAGTCCCCCAGTCTCAACTCATTTCAGTATTAACTCAGAAGTCCACAGTCCAAAGCTAAGCAGTGATCTAGATCAGAATATAGAAAAATAGATCACAAATCATATTGGGCTACATTATGCTAAAGGGCTGGAAAGTGACAGAAACATTGTCTGAAATTTGACTTCACTATTTTCTTGAACAAAGACATGAAAATTTGTTGCAAAATCTTTTGAGGATGTCATGGAAGCAATAACCATTGAGGCAGCAATTAGAGTGATCAAAAGAACCTACCATTAGGTCTTAAACCTCTCAGTAGGTTTTCAGAAACAGCAATGAGCTAGGGAACATCAGAAAAATCTTACTTGGATAACTGAAAATCATCTTCTACATGTTTACTTCACCACAAAATTTATGTATAAAAACTGTTGTTTAAGCTCCCCCGCTTTTTTAAACTTTTAAGTTCCTAGGTACATGTGCAGGATATGCACGTTTGTTACATAGGTAAACGT